GATGTTGTTTGGAACATTTGTGTATTGTCTGCTGCATCCTTATAGTAGCTTTGTAACAAATTCCATAGTTGTTTTTAGGAAGCAAATCCTTAATTCAGGAATAAGCATGAGCTTGTAGAAGCTTGGGGGTGAAAACATCAGTTGCCCGAAAGATGGTATGTTTTCATTTTAGAGTTTTATGCTGTCAGTTGTTTTTGAACACACTAAAGCATCTCTAGTTCAAAATTCTAATTACAGTGCTTCTGCAATTATAGTGAATAAACACATTCTTGTAGCTGACCCTTTAAGCACATTGGTGTTACCAGTTGGACACAGAATTCTATTATTATTTCTCTTATGATCTTTCCATAATTAATTACTTGTGGTATAGACAAATCCTGCAGCTTGATTCTTTTATATCTGTTTTTTTTTTCAGTGCAGAGTGTTTTTATTAGAAGGAGATATTGTTAATGTAGTAAAGATTTCTGCTGTCTTGAACTGGGTTGATTTGAGGTAGGAACTACTGTCTTAACATGCAAGTGCACAGAATGGGGTCTCAGTGAGTAAAGTCTTGATTATAACTTAACTCCGTCCCAAAGTTGTTGCTTTCTGATGACAGCTGTTTCTTAGTTTCAGAGTTCTGCAATGGTTTCAAATGAAAATGTCAGAATGGTCTATTTGAAGCATTGTTCTTGGGCTTTCCATCTTTCCTCGTGTGTTTTAACGTGACATGATCTAATGATTGTCCTGGTGTACTAAAAGCTACAATGGCTTGTATAAGAATCAGCTTGAAAGAGTAAATTTTTCTTTTTTTTCTCCCTAAATTATTGTTGATGGGGTTTTTTACAGTGTAATTTAACATAGTAGGTTATGATTAAATGTTGCAATGGGTAACTTCTAATGAAAGCCTTAACAGTTTTTCATAAATAAAATAGAGTATACTGTGTTTCATGCATTTAAATGTGAACAAACCTAATGAACTGTTTTGGAAACTTGATAGCTGACTTACAGTGACTGTGAGTCTGCCTGTTTAAATAGCATTTCAAACAGATAATACAGACTGTCACAGTCTGTAGCTGATAATGAAATAGTGCATAGACCACACTTCAGTGCAGAAGGCGTTACTTGCACATGGAAGACTGTACTGTATTTTATCTAGGTATCCCATAATGATGCTGCTCATTTTCATTATGTTCTATTCTGACAAACACTCGAACTGAATAGGAGGTGAAGTGTTGAAAAATAACTTGAATCCTAAAGTTCCTTTGGCACTTGATCTGGTGTGAGCTAAGCAGAAACAAAAGCTACTTAAACTCTGCTACCCTGCAAACGCTTTAGGAATGTGAGTGGCTTACTTTAGGGTATCACGTTAGAACAATTACCCCTTTTCCATTTTGTACATCTGATTTAGTTCTAAATTACTCCTTTAACAAAAAAGCCCAACACAACAAAACAAAACACACACAACCTCCCACTCTTTATACTTAGGCCATTTTTCTTTCTTGTTATGAAGAAGGATGTTGTATCCTTAGAAAGGTATGATAACTCCCAGTTAGGTGTGATGTGCTAAAACATGGTGTGTGGTTACTGTGATCAACAGCAGTGAGAAAGAAAATGATTGTAAAAGGAAAATTTGAAGTTTTTAATTGGAATGTGTACTCTTTTATAAGTTGTTAGTGTTTTGAGTGCTTATGTCAAAAATTCAGATACTGTTTTCTGAGCATTTTGTCTTTGTTTGTTGAATTAATTCTTTAATTAATGTCCTTTGGGATATCTTCTGGTAGTGGAATTGTGCTAAGAAAAATTCCTTTTACAGAACTGGCAAGTTAATATTAGCTGTTTCTTAAGTGAGACACTATCCTCTGTGTGCCTTTTGCAAGTAAAGGTTGACAGGCTCATAGGAAATGCAGCTGACGTTAGGAAGCTTGGGTGGGGACTACAAGGAGCTGGCAAATACTAGAGGTTTTAGTGCCAGACATGCTGACACAACAGTACTTCACTGGTAGAAGTTTTCTTTAGGCTGCTAATTCTGTCTTCAGAGTAACTGGAATTAAAGCAGTGTCTCTGATGCCAAGTTAAAATAGCTAAAGCAACAGTTTATGGGAAATTGAGAATGTTTTCCACATCTCAGATGCTCAGAAATATTAGTAAAAAGAGCAAGCTCCTCTCTTAATGAAAGCATGAGTTATGAACTGTGCCACAGAATGAATCCAGTGCAAAACAGGTCTCATCTAACTGTAGATCATCAAAAACAGCTCAAAGAAGGAAAGGCTAGCAGTGTAAAGTATCTATAAATACTGAGCTCTGACTGTTTTATATCCTAGTTTCCATTTATTTGATTTGCCATTTTTTCCATTTATTTTTTTGTAAGGCACCCTTTAATAACTTCCTTTAGCTTTCAAATAAAAATCCTTTATTTTAAGTGTATATAGACACTGGAAAATACTGTGTTGTCAAATGATGCAGTCTTGGTGGAAGGATGCAGCTCTGTTACATAAGTATATTGGGTTTGTGGGGTTTTATGATTTCAGCGTCACCCTTAAATGTTAGGAAGAGCTTCCTTCCATTTCTTAGAGTGCAGAATTCAAAGCAAGTGTTGGAAGAAAGGAGCTTCAGATGGTGAATTTAATTTGTTCAGCATTGGCACAGTGCAGTGTGCCATGACGAGTCAGCTTTAATATTATTACCCCTTTGAAGGTAGGCAGCTGCATTATGCTCTGCCACTAAAGTAGAATCTCAGTAGTGGACTGAAGCAGCTTTGCTGGATGGCAGCAACTTGCAACTGGATGGCAGTATCTTGCATCCATGGGAGGCATTGGCTTTTGCTGACCTCAGAATTATGGATCACCTCTAAAGTTTCCTGTTCCCTGACTGTTTTATCAAGAGAAAGTGAAAAGCAATATATAAATATAAGGAAAGGCTGTTTTTAAATCATGGAGGTATTTTTGCATTAACAACTGTCATATAAAGTGAAAAATAGATTGAACAGTTTTTTCTCAGAGATCACCTATATCTTCTTTTATAACATTCCTTATCAGTTCAACTCTGCAACACTGTGATGTCTTTCAGGCTAAGATTTGTCTTTTCCTGAAGACTAGCATTTAGAAAGTTTGTTTAAACTGGTGTTTTCAGAAAGCTATGTAGCAAACAACTATGTAACCCATGACTTTGACAAGTTGGAGAACTGGGCAATCACCTTCCACATAAAGTTCAACAAGGGAAAGTGCCAGAATCTGCACCTGGGCTGGGGCAACTCCAGATGTACATACAGACTGGGCAATGAGATGCTGGAAAGCAGAGCTGTGGAAAGGGACCTGGGGGTCCTGGTTGATGGCAGGTTGAATATGGGCCAGCAGTGCCCTGGCAGCCAGGAGGGCCAACTATGTCCGGGGGGGAATCAGGCAAAGCATCACCAGCCGGGTGAGGGAGGGGATTGTCCTGCTCTGCTCTGAACTGGGGCTGCCTCACCTTGAATATTGTGGCAATTTTGGGCACTACAATATAAGAAAGATATTAAGCCATTAGAGAGTGTCCAAAGGAGGGCAATGAAGATGGGGAAGGGCCTTGAGGGGAAGCCAGTGAGTAGCGGCTGAAGTCACTGGGTCTGTTCAGCCTGGAGAAGAGGAGACTGAGGGGAGACCTCATTGCGGTTACAACTTTCTTGTAAGGAGAAGAGGAGGGGCAGGCACTCAGAGACTGTCACTGGTCTCTTTTCTGTGGTGCCCAGTGACAGGACTCAAGGGAATGGCCTGAAGTTGTGTCAGGGGAGGTTTAGTTTGGATATTAGGAAAAAGTTCTTCCCCCAGAGGGTGGTTGGGCACTGGAACAGGTTCCCCAGGGAAGTGGTCACAGCACCAAGCCTGACAGAGTTCAAGAAGCGTTTGGACTATACTTTCAGGCACATGGTGTGACTCTTGCGGAGGATCCTGTGCAGGGACAGGAGTTGGACTCAATGATCCTTGTGGGTCCCTTCCAACTCAGCATACACTGTGATTCTTTGACTTGACTAAATCAAGGTGTACAACTCACCATTCATTTTTTGTGTTGCTCTTGGTGGTGATCTGTTCTCAACTGTCTCTGGACATTCTATAGCACATCTCCAGGATTTATTCTTTTATGCTGCCTGATAGCTCCCAAATTGTTACCTAGTTCGTTGCGCTGCCCACCGCCCCCCTGCCCCAAGGATGTTCTGAACCAGATCCTGGCTTTATTGGTGTGTATGTACCCAGAAAGGCACGTGTGTCTTACCTCTGTAGAAGGGGCTGGAGGACATGTTTGGAGAAAAGAATAGAGGCTTGCTTAACAAAAGGTTAATTTTCTTTGGGGTAATAAGAGTTAAGCTTTGGAGAACATTAAGTCTTTATCTTGGTTACAGCTTTGTTGAATGAAGGAGGATCTGATAAATGTTACAGTGACTCTTTGCTTCCAGGGAGGAGTTTCTTTGTTGAATAAAAATTGTACAGTATCACTGAACTGATCTGGTCAGTGTCCAAGATTTAAATTGTCTCAGGGGATGTATTGCTGACATTCTCTGTGGCCTGTTTAGGTATTTCTGTTTACGGATGTGTAGAGTGATCTATTTGCAGTGCAGTGAGACTGCACTTCCTGTGGGTTGAATGGTGTTGCTTAACTGTGGTCAGCTGAATTCCTTGGACGAGAGCTGGATTTTTGTATGTAATGTCAATATATTTTGCCAACAATAGCTGGCAGTGAATGCACATGCAAGGCTAGCATGAAATAATTTCTGATGGTGTATTAAATATTGTGAACTCTGTTCTTAATTTTTTCTGCATGGTTCTGACAAAAGCAAGCTGCAAAAATGGCTTGGTAATTATCCATTGCAACTTTCATACTAAGTCTTCACTAGTGAGCAGGATAATAAACTGTGAATGCAGTTTTTGGAAAGGTAATGGACAGAAGTGCTTTGACTTCAGAATATTTTTTCAGAAACATAGTAGCTGACACCAGTTTTTTTAGGCACTGATAAGAAAATTTGAGTGTCAAACTTTTATTTTTTTCAGATGGAGCAATTGTCAGATGAAGAGCTTGACCATGGTGCAGAAGAAGATAGTGATAAGGAAGACCAGGATCTGGACAAGATGTTTGGGGCCTGGCTGGGCGAACTGGACAAACTCACCCAGGTGAGGGATATTTCAAACATCTTACTGAAGTATTATGATTCTTTTCAGTTGGATGCTACCTGCTCAGCACTGCTGCTTGCAGCAAGGTAAACTTTAGCCTGTGACCAGTTTTAAAAGTTTGTAAATTGGCTTCTTTTTCCCATCTCAAGGTTGTTAAATTTATTTTTCACAACCTTCTAGTTTGGCCTTTCCCAAAGGGTATGATTCCTTCCAGAAACGACGGAATTGGTATTTTGTGCTTGTGTATATAAAGAAACATGGACTTTAGCTGACTAGAGATAGGCTGTGTCTCCAAACGTGGTTTGACGTTGTCCAGCTGTGACAGCATTTATTTGTTGCACCTGAACAGCAATAAGGAACAGGAAATTGTGAACATTGGCACTCATGACATGGTAAAGTGACCTGATACACCCTAGAGGACTCATCATTGTTCCAGAGTTCTCTTCCTGCATCAGAGAAGCAGCTGATAGGACATCTTCTTTTGGCACTTCCAGCTTTCCAATGCTTTTCCTTTCCTTCACAAGCAGCTCTTGCATTTTGCCTGGTATGCCTATCCTGGGGTGATAGGCCATTTCTCTGTGACTGCTTGCAGGGGTTTTACAGCTCTGTGAGCTGGCCCTCCTGAATAGCATATTTAATCTTCTCCTTGTTTATCGTGTGGAATTAAGCAAAGGTATGGTAACTGAAGTTTCATTAAGCTAGAGAAGAGGCAGTTTTTCTCATCTTCATCTTACCCAAAGACTGAAGGAAAATTAAGCTATTGATGACAGAGTTTCAGATTCAGGCTCATCTCTGAATCTGGTTAAATTTCTGCCTGCAGGTTCTAAATTTATATAGCGTATAGGGGAAAGTAATTTTTTTCTGAACTTGTACATGCAGGGCAATAAAGAATCTTGCTTTTTGAAATGAATAGAAGAGTATGACATGAATCTGTATATATTAATTCTTCCTGTGTTTTTAACTTTGCAAGAAGGATTTTTAGTGATAAGTGAAAACCATTTTGAAGGTTTGGGCTTTGTAAATCACTTTGAGTGAGGATCTTCACAGAAGAGCACAGCGGGTAATTGGTCTTGAACCTCTTATTCTCTGCCCTGTTTTTTTCAACTCTAGCAGCCTAGAAATATAAGCATATTTTATTTGGGGGTTATAGCTACACTGTTGATGTGCAGATTTCGGGGTCATGTCTCAATTTGTTGCTGGTCCATGCAAAGTTTTTAAAACGTACTAATGAGTAGTTAACAGGAGACCCACGTTATTTGTTTCTCACCTTCGTATTGCTTTTCAACACAGTCTGCAACATAGCCTGACAGTTGCCCTTCTATCTTTTGCAACTATTGAGAAATGACATTTCCCCCAAAACTTTGACCTCATATTATTTTTTATAAGCAAGTTCATGGAGTTAGTTGTGTCTCAGTTAGTTTATTTGGAAAATGATCAGGTCCTGATGCAGCCCTAATGAAGTCTCAATAAAGAGGAGTGATTGGAGTTAATGAGATCTAAAGTGCATTCTCCTGTAGTCTCAGCATTTGTTGCTGTTTATCAGCTGGACTTCCAAGAGCAGTAGGAGATCCTGAGATCCTTGAACTTTAACTTCCTTTTTAGATTTCATAAATGTTTACTTTAAGGGGATTTAAAGTAAGACCCAGATTCCTCTCCAGATGTAAGTGCTTTTTTAAAGATTTGAAATTGTTAAAATACCCATGAGATCACTGGAATTCACTTTGCCCTCTTTAACTGTTGGTCTAACAAAAGCATTATAAAATGAAGTCACAAATCTGCAGTGTGTGTGAGCCGTGTTTGGCACAGTGGGTTAACATTTATACTGCTTAAGTTGTCCTGCTCTATGGTACAGGTTAAATGAAGGAAATCTTACCTTGCTTCTCATGTTTATTCAGAACTAAGCTTTTTGGTGCTGTTTCAGTTTTTAGCAGTTCTCCAAAATGCTGTTTTAGCAATGTAATGTGTTATGGAGAATGTGCTTCAGGTAACAGTGAGAGAATATCACATCTATTTTCAAAGAGGTGAAATAACTTTGTTGTTATTAAGGTCAGTAAAACACATTTTAGATATTTTTAACCAGGATAGATTTGCTTTACAGCACATCTTTTGTAACAATCTGTGGATTCAGTCTGAAGGAATGAACCCTAATTTGCCTCTTCTGTCTCCAGGGTTATAGATAGATTTTTCCACCCCCCACCCCCTCTCTGCTATTCTGTCTGGGACAACACTTAAGCTTCATCAGAGGTGAGGTTCTTGCCATCTGATGGAAGACAAAGCTTCATCACTGTCTTTTCATTAAGTGATGATTGACTCAGTAATTGATTTGGGGAGCTGGGGGAGGGGATTAAATTTGGGCCAGGCTGAGGAAAGAAGGGAATTCAGTGATAATAAATATTAGGGGAAAAATTAGTGCATTTCATTTTTTAACAAAGGCTTGAGTAGAGATATAGAAAATGAAAATAAAAAGCTTAGGTGAGAAACTTTATTCTGTTAGAACTAGAAGATGCTTTTCCTTCAGACAAGCATATCTTCAGAAAATCTTTATCAGTACAAGCACTGCTTCATTTCAGACATTCTATGGGCCTGTTGAGCTTTGGTGATGGCCAGAGCTGGATTCCCCATGTAACACTTGCCACTCCAGGGGCAGCAGCTACTGGCCCTGACATGTACCTCTTGGGTCACCAGCTGGGTCACAGTGCCCTACTGCTTGCTACTTACACAAATCCTGGTATTTTTTATAACACATTAGCCTTCATAACATAACAATTCAAGATGAGAAATAACAGTGTCTCTTTTTTTTAACCTATACTAGTTTTTCTAAAAAAAAGTGTCCTACATAAGCTGGCTAGGGATTGCTTTCACAATTTAACATTGTTCACAGGAGAGGCTCATTGAAAAAAATGTCTGAATTTAGCCAATTTAAAATCCCTTTTAATAAAATAGAATTCTTCATTGAATGTTTTTATGTGCTTATGCCATGATTATGCTCATAAGCTAATGATGCATATCTTAGAGTATCACAGGCTGAATGTGTTTAAATCCTTTCCCAGTTTGCTGCAGAGAAATTGTTACAGCTGAGCCAACTGCCTGTGTTTCAAATGAGCTAGTATGTAACACCACTTAAAAAAGCATGTGGAATATGCTTCCTTCCTTTGATTCAGCAAAAACCAGAATGTGTTTAACGCCTTTTCTTTATTGCATATCTGAAGCTAAATCTCTGTTGTATGACGATGTATGTTTTCAGTCTAAAGCCTGAAAAGGAGGGTTGGGTTTTTTTATGTGCCTGGAGATTTTGAAAAATTTCTCTTGGAGAAGATGAATTCTCATTCATCTTAAAGATTTGCTTGTCCAGTTCCATGTCAAACTTCATTTTGCCCTTTTTTTGATCCTTTTCAGAGTTTGGATACGGACAAGCCTGTGGCACCGGTGAAGAGATCACCTCTCCGTCAGGAAACCAATCTTGCCAACTTCTCATATCGCTTCTCCATGTACAATTTGAATGGTTTGTTGAATTATTTACCCCTCAAATATTAGTTTAAGAAAAAAACCCTTATTCCAGCTACAAATGAAAACAGGTTAAAATATAAGAGCATTTGAGTACACTTCTAGCTGAAGTGAGAACATATTTGCTGAAGGCATTGCTTTCTGATGCCAGAATTTTGAGTATACTGAAACAGTATATATTTTATGGCACCTAGTATCTGAGAACTGCAGTCTAGTATTTTTTTTAAAAGCTGAGACATGGTGCTCTGCAGATGTATTTTTAAATTGGTTCACAGGAAAGTAGTTTTAACTTCTCAAACGTAATCTGCACACTCATAGATTTCTTTTGCTGGCAAATGTGTTTAATCTAAATTGTGTGAAAGGTGCACTGGTCAAGAGTAGTAGTGCAAATGAACTTCTGCTTAACAGTGAACAGAGATCTTACAATACAGATGGGAAAAGAAAATGCTGCTTCCTTTACTCCCTTACCCTAACTGTTAGATTTGATAACATAAAGTGAAGAGTTGCAAATGAAAACTCTGCACATACTGACAACTGTTGTTTGTTGCAGAAGCCCTGAATCAGGGGGAGACTGTGGATCTGGATGCCCTCATGGCTGATCTCTGTTCCATAGAACAGGAGCTCAGCAGCATCGGGTCTCATTCAGCAAACAATGCTGCAGTGAAACGTCCTGCCACAGAATCCAAAACTCAGAAACCACCTGCTAGTCGACCTTCTACTAAGCACAGCAGCATGAAAGGATTATCCTCCTCCTCTGGTAAGGTGACTAAACCATCACATGCCAACGTGTCTTTGGATGACATCACCGCACAGCTAGAGAAGGCCTCTTTGAGCATGGATGAGGCAGCCCAACAGTCCATTGCAGAAGACACCAAAGCAGCAGTTACTGCTCAGCACAGGAGGACAGCGTCTGCTGGCACAGTGAGTGATGCTGAGGTGCGCTCGATCAGTAACTCCTCCCGCTCCAGCATGACCTCTGCAGCTTCCAGCATGGACTCCTTGGATATCGATAAGGTGACGAGACCTCAGGAACTGGACTTGACATCACAGGGGCAACCAATCACTGAGGTAGAGTGTCACTAATTCAAGATTTTTGTTCGGTTTGGGTTTTTTTCTTCATACTTTGACACCCCACCCCACCCCCATGGTAAAACTCCTAGCTAAACATCTGCAGCACACTGGGGTTGATTAAAGACTAAGATTGCTAATTGCATGAGCTGCACTTGCTGTAGCTGCTACTTTCTCTGGTTTTGGTTCTGTCTGCAAGGCAGCTCTTCTTTCAAAGAATGTGTTTTGGTTTTTTTAAGAACTTTCCACATTTCTTGTTCCTCCTAAGCCAACCATGCATTTTAATTTTTTTTTGCAGTTAATATTTTTATTCTAAGTAAGTCTCATATATTGCTTTTAATTTAAATCTGAGGAGTGCACATCTGTGGAAAAAAGAAAGTACAACTGAAAAACTGCATTCCTGTTACAGTACAGTTAATACCTCAAACACATGGAGCAATTTATGAATGCCTCTCTGGAGCTATACTATACCAATAATTTGCTGCTACTTAATATTCTTGTTCAGTGTGTGACAGGGAGACCTCTTTGAAAAAATGCACGAAACAACTGGGCTGCAATACAACAATAGCAGATGTTAATTTGGGATTTTGGTGCCTTGACGTTTCTTAATAAGCGAGGCCACTTCAGTAAAAAAAAGCCAGTTTGGTGAACATTGAAAGTGCTGGTTACTTGTGAGAGGAAATGGCAAAAATGTTATGGTGAATTTTGAAAACTTAAACTAGAAACTATCTTGTAGAAATATTCTCTGAAACAGAAATCTGACCTGTTCAAATGTCAGTTGTACTAATATGCATGTTCCCTGTGATGAGAGAAAACTGGAACAAGCTGAGTTTATTCTAATCAATAATTAACACTAATTTGAATGAGCGGTGCTGAAAGCATGGTTCTACACATCTGCAGCAAAAGTTCATCTGGTGGAGAGTGAATGATACAGGCTTATCAGTCTAATGATCAACTCATCAAGGTCACACTGCAGTTTAAATCTTTATTTGAAATGGTGAGAAATTAATGAATGATGGTTTAGTTTAACTTCCTTTTTGTTTAAAAAGTTGGTGTTCAATATGTTTTTACTGGAAATTTTTTGTACTGAGTGAATTAAAACATAGATAGAAATGTGTCCTTTGCACTTTGGAACGTTAAAATGCAAACCTTTTGCATTGTTGCTGTAGGCCTAAGTGTTCAAGCCAGCCTGTGACAGTCATTGATTATATTGCTTGTTTGTCAATCATTTTCTTTCTGTGCTATGACAAGGCTTATTTTTGCGGGTTTTTTTGCATCTCTCACCGTTATTCATGGTTATATGTATCTCTTTATTATGTAAGAAGTTAGGCAATCTTGCATTTTTGTCTCTTCTCAGGCTAAAAAGATGATTTGTGTGAATTAGTCACCCTAACTTGCATAGCCCAAGAAAAACATGAACATTGCATTTCTTAATTTTTAAAAATGCAAGGTGTTTTCTGCAACTGATTTTGCAGGTCTCCTAGATTCTCTCTTTTACTTCAGGAGTGATAGGCCAATTCTTTCTGTCTTGAATAATCAAGAAAGCACCTGCTTCACTTAAGTAACTTGTTGGTGAATTAAGGGAGGGAGGCCAAGAAGTGCCTTTGTCTTCCCAGGAAGCTAATCTGTATCTCTCCAAGTGTTGCAGTTGCTTTCTCAGTTGCTTTCTGAGCTCCTTCTTGGCCACTGACTGCAAGGCTCAAAATCATCCCCAAAAGCTCTTCTCAAGGACTGTGAGCACTGCCTTTGTAAATCCAGTGATTGCTTCTCATATAAGAATGTGGCTATTGTTTCTCTTCCCAGATAAGTTGATAAGAATGATTCCTTTGAAGAGGGTAACCAGAAATGTTGGTAATTTGAGAGCCAGATTCTTCTCCTCTCTTTAGAGCAGAAACCTCTGCACTCATTAACTGTGCTGCTTTGTTTTTGCTCTGTCTTTTCTTTCGAATTTCAGTAGCCTGAGGATGGTGTTCAACCTGAGACGTTTTCCCCAGGTTTACAGAATTGGTATTCAGTATTAAAACTGTTATGTGATGGGACTTTTTACTGAGAAGTAGCTTTCTTTTCTCATCACTGGTGAATGGAAAAGGGGAAATTAGTTGTTTGAGATTGGGACAGATTCTGTGATAGTGTTTTTTGAATGAAATCCACCTTTTAAATGGATTCTTTGGAAGAATCATTGGGTATCAACAAAGCTTTTATTTCCTTTTTCATTTGTTTAGTGCCCGAAAACTAGTTTAGGGGTTCGTTAATCCTCATGGCTAGGTCGTAAACCAAAACACCTTTTACTGATAGGGTTGAATTGTACCTTCCCACCTACACAGTTGACTCAGTGGTGCTGTTTCTAGTAGAGAACATCTCTCTGAGGAAATAGCCTTTGAAGAAGACCTAGTGCCCATGTAGGGAAAAATCCAAACAGTTTTTATGCAGAAAGTGGGAGAGGCTATTTCTTCATAACCATAGCAGATCTGTTTTGAGATTTGTTATTCTAACATAGTGCTTCGAGTTAGCTCTTTTGCCTGTCTTCCTTGAGGAGCTGACCTTTAAAATTTCTCTTTACTGCTGTGGCTCTTATCAAAGAGGGCAGTGTCTTGGCAGCTCTGCCCTTTTGACCGATCCCTTCTGTCCTCTGCAGGCAGTATAGGTACTTTAAAAAGTCATCCTTCTTTCTGCAACTTGATGTTATGCTCTTCCTAAGTAAAATGGAAGACAGTTTTGATGGGAGGAAATACGTGTTTGAAAAAAGAAATTAAGCTTTGCAGTTATTAACTTCGGTATTTTATCTTAAAAAATAATTCTGCTCTGTATTTGAGAGCTCTCTGACCTGGAAATGCAGGAAAGTCCAGTAAAAGAACTGCCGTGCACTGACCTGTGAAAGGTATGTGTGGTCTGGTATATTTTCTGACTGATAATAGTGATCAATGTTATGAAAAAGGCTGCAATTCCACAACCACCAGAAATGGAGGATATAAATTCCCTTTTCTCTCATCCTTCCTTCCTCAAAGTTCTTCCCTACACTGTCTCATCTCCTCCCTTGTCCCAGCTTTGGCACTTACTGGTCCTTAACATAGAAAACTCACTGCTTCTATTCTGGGACTCATTCTGTGTTATTTAGGTGAATTGGGGAGGCTCAGAGGAGTCTGATCAGGGCTGTAGCCGAGTGCTGGAGGCTGGAAGGGAGAGCAGGAATACACATGTTGGTGGTATTGGATTATTCAGAACTTCTTGCCTGAGCATTTGGACAGGCAAGGTAGGGTCTTGTTTTCCTCTTCCTCCTAGCAGCCTGTGCTGTAGGAACCTCCTGGGGGTGAAGATACATCAGCATGATGATAGATGATAACTTTCAGTGGTTCTATTGGCCAGGACCATCCTTGTTCTCCTTCTGAATTTGTATTTATGCCAGTTTTTGAGGAGTTGAAATTCTGGAATTTCCTGGGTTGTCTAAACTTGTGGGTTTATTAGTTGTCATCATGATTTATTTTCTTTCTTTAATAACAATTCCTAACACTATCTCTTGAGACACTGTGAACATTAATGTCTTCAAAGACTATTGCTTTGTAGTCTCAAGATCTTGTCTTGATGGAACTGTTTTCTGACTGCACTTACATTCTTGTCCTAAATCCCCCTTAAGCATTGTTGAATAAGAAGAAAAGTTGTTTCTATCCCACCCTAAACCCCATAATTTTTTGTTAAATTGAAATTTGTCTTTGACAAAATGATTTCCCAGATCCTTGCTTGAACGGTATTCTTTCTTAAATTGGTAGGTTGCATTTAATTTTTATGTTTTCAGTTGTGTAATGAGTGGCATACACTCTCAAGCTTTGTTTCTGTATGTGGGATACTTTACTTGAATGTAGACTGAATGAGTGAAGTAGTAGCATGAGTTAAAAGTAGGGGAAGTGATGACTGTATGACTAACTTGTCCCTTCCACCCTCATTATCTTTTTCCTTTCTCCTTTGGCCCCTCTGCCAGCAAGGAGTTGTCTCTGTTTTCAGTGAGCTGTGCTAGAGCAATAGGAGAAGCAAGCAGTGGGGAGAGAATAGAGAAATGTGTTGATGATGCTCATGGAGCTGTTTGTGTCTGACGGGTGAAAGGGTCCATTCATGGACGGTCATTGTTCCTGTCCTGCACATACTCAGTGAAGAGGTTGCAGATAAGTTTGAAGTCTGCCATCTGGTCTGGCACAGCACCACCCCCGCCCTCCCAACTCCATGGAGTTCTTTATGTCTGTAACCCAGTTTGCACAGCTGAGAGATTCTGGCTTACATATGAAGATAATGCAAAATGTAGCAGTCAGTAACACTGCATGATTTTTTTTTTTAGTTGTGTTTTATTTTTTAGCTTTTACATCAATCTAAACCTACAACGAATTTAAGTAAAAGAGGTGAAAATCATGACAAGAGCCTGACTGCCAGTGCATTACAGCTACAAGTTCTTTGCTTCACTTGACAGAGAAGGCAGCAGTGTAAACATTAATGTTTCTTTTGGGGGGGAAAAAAGGGAAGTTTGGAGGCATGACAGTTAGTAGGGATTGTCATGTAAGCTCAGCACACACAGGTAAATCTGTACTAGCTAATAGCTCCTGTGGGATAAAATGGAAAACTTGAGAGGGGCACAACGAGAGAGTTTGCATTTCATGGCAATTTTGCCATGGTTCCTGTATGAACTTGTTGACACTTCACTTGCCTACACAGTGGCATAACACGAAAACTTTGGTACCCATTTAAAATTACTGAGAGCCATGTTCTGTGTGGGGTTGGTAAATGTTACACTGTATGAAAGTGCAGTTGACTGCTAATGTATGCAGAGAAATCAATGATAGTATGATCTTTGGTAGGCAATAGTGTCTTCAAATAGAGTTGGATTGCTGAACCTCACCTGTTATTTGTAGGTGATTTAAAGAACAGTTGTGGTCTATTTTAGCTCTTGAAGGAATGGAGCTCTTGTGTTTTGGGAGCTTAATGTTCGAGTAGTTTTCCTTATGGTCCATGTTTTGCAT